GTAAGTTTTGATATGCCAATCATCTCGCAACATTAACTATTCTATCACTGTTACAGAGCAAGTTGAAAGTTCATACATTACCAGATAGCATGAAAAGTTCTTAAGTTTGAGGACTCTCCTAAAACCTAGCTCGTTGTCGTCGTGGGAGGGCTTAGGAGACGGGGACTGAGACCCAATGTAGAGGATTACCCCTACCTTGGGCCTCAGCCCTTGCCTCAACTAATTTTGCTTGGTCCTTTCTTCTCTTTTCTCTAACGTATCTTCTTTACTCCCTTCTATCCCATTCCTAAGGTGTGAGAGCCGTGCTGAAAGGATGAAAGGCTGACTTTGTGTCAGTCACGAACGGCCTCCAGGAGCCATGGGCACGGTATTCCCTTGGCTAATTACTTAGCCCTTACCCCTTATGGGGACCCTAAGGGGTAGACCGTTTCTTTTCCCCAGTTTATTCAGGCTCACCATGGCAAGTAGTGAAGATTCCTCACCCTTGATAGAGGCATTAAGGCTTGCCCCTTCATCAAATAGCCTATCTGAATTTGATTTTGATGGTTTTCCAACCCCTGCCCCTCCTTTGACCACGGCTCCGACCACTGATGCTAACACCCCCTCTTTGAGGCTTACGAACAACTCTAACCATTCTGAAAAACCCATTCAGGTTATTACTCAACTCCTGGAAAATACCTTTTCCTCATCCCCAATATTCTCTTCATCCCCTAATGCACGACCCTCTTCAATGTCAACCCCCTCTTCCCTTATTACTACTCTTCATTCTTATTGTCCTACTCCACTCCACACCACCCCATCTTCCTCTCGCCCTCGTCCTTCTACTACCTCTACTTCTGCTAATCTTCTGGGTACTCTCTTTGGCCCAGCCAAGTGGGATCAATTCTTTGTGATTCCCCCACAGCCCCCTATTCTGAGAATACCCTCTTTCATAAGTGCCTCCAGAAACAAGTAGGCAGGGTTACCTTTCGCAGTCGCTCTGATTGTTCACAGCTTGTCTGAAGCTCAAGCTCGTGCACTGTCTGCCCTAACTGACCTTACTGGCAAACCCATTCCTGCTGAACCTCACCCAACTCTTAATTTCTATTCCCCCTAATGCTTGTCCCATGTATAACAAGGACTGGTCAGACTGAAAATGACCTACTTTCTTGCCTTGATGAATATGATGCAGTGGCAGTATAGTGTTACACACTTCTAGAGGCCAACTTAAATCTCATGTCAATATTGCCAAGATTAGCTTCCATAGACAAGACCTCCCCATGAGGTTTATATTGGTGGATCGTCTTATCATGTCCGACAATATCAACCCCTTCCTCGTCAATGTCATGACCGTTCAAATTGCCTGGCTCAGTCACGTACATGTGCCAATTGTGGAGACTCCCATTATGTGTTTTATAGGAGCTGCCCTGCCTAAAAGTTTGAATGTGAGGTAGCAGTCCTGAGATTTAAACTAGGCCTCACTCTACGAGAGGCCAGACAGGAAGCACGACGACGAGGTTTTTCTCTCTCAACTTATTCCAAAACAGTCCTGCGCTCTGCTCCCACACCATCTGCACAAGATATTTCTGCATCTCCCCAGGTATCTTTTCCCAATACCCAAAACCTACGTCCTATGTCTACTCACCCTATCAAATCCATTTTCCATCCTAAATCCAGATACTCCAATCTCTACCACTTCCCGGATACCTACCCCTCCTCCTCACTTTAGTTGCTGTACCAGACAACCTAAACGTTCCACTCCACACTCTCCTACTACATTCTCTCCTACACCTTCCTCTTCATCTGCTCCTCAGATATCCAACTCCTCTTCTCCTCCTTATAAGAGGACCTTTGTTTCTCAGTCCTCTATACGAAATTCCCCTTCAGAAACCCTTGAAGACATGTGAAACATCCTAAAGATTACCCGAGGGAACACTCCGCTCCCTCATCCACCCCCAGTCCCTCTGTTCCTACTCCTGCTACATTTAAAGTATTTGCAGATATTCATCCTCCTCCTTCCCAAGTTCCCTCCTACACCCTCCCAACATACCCCACCCTCTCTACCACTTGAATACTCACACGAATCCTCTCTATCACAACAGTGTTTTTCTCCAGACCCCTCCTCTCCAAACATTTTTCCTAGTGCTTCACCACCTTCCCCAGTCTCTCTTTCTCAACCCCTGGATTATTCTCCTCCTAGTTCTCCAACAGCCACCTCTATTTTCCTTGATCAGTGTCCTTACTCCTTCCCTAGTCACAGATACACTGCAATTCAGTCACTTGCTCTGCCCCTTTATGTTCCCCCAACCCCTTTCCAAGATGCCTCATCCTCTCAACCACCCAAACCGCCCATACCACCCAAACTAAACCTCCCCCCCAAAACCCCATCCTTCCCTACTATCCCTCCCACTCCCTCCTGGATATACACGTGAATCTCTTTTATTACAATATCCTTCCCCAGACCCCACTGTCCCTATCAAACCCTCAGACACTACTCCTTCACCTATTCCTGATCCTTTGT